ACTTGGATTGTTTTGCCACGAGTTCCCAGCATGCAATGCGCGAAAGTCACGTGGTCTGTCGATCTCTATACCCATTTTTCTCTAAACAATTTGAAATTTAGACCCTGAAATACTCTGCAAGAAACCAAGAGGGTCTCCCACTCGGCAGGCCCTATTCTCCATTTCACCGAGTTAAAACAAATATGTCGTGGTCATTTAATTAGAAGAAACAGTAATAGTGTTTCACCCAGAGTTTTGGGCTTTCACAGCAAAACCTCACAGACGTCAGTGTTGTAGTTCACTCCGACTGGAGGTCCAAATGATTTCAGTGAATCCAAACTAAGAAATAAAATCAGAACAATCACATGTGAACACCATCCACCTTCAACCCACTATGAGCCTTCATATGAGACTAAATCACATAAACTACCTCTGAAAAATCATTGGATCTATTTGTACACATGTCGTATGGAGTCGTATTCCCCTCGTGTTATCACACAGCAACTAAAGCAGCTAGCAGCATGCTAAGATAACTAGCTAAAGGCTAGCGCCAGCTTAATCACGTGTTCAGTCACATATGCTGTGATGTGATGTACCCATAAAAGTGATTTGAGATTGGTTACCTGTGCAGGAGAAAAGACCAAAGACTAGTGATGTGTCCTGTGTGTCGAAGCTTCGATACCTGTGTCGGGTAATCTCGGCGAGTTTTTGTGAAACGCGTATCGAGGCTCGCTTTGATTACGTATGCAGTGACGTTCGAGGCCTCGCGGGCAGTCCGTACCATGTGACTGATTCAGGAACTGGCTCGCCGGTTCGCGCCAGATTCGAAATAAAATGGGCAGCAAAACACAGCTGATTTCCCATCACACTGTGTTGTTGAACAGATTACGTACGTGTTACATAGTTACTTGAGCATTTATTGTTCGATGGAACGAGCAAGGAAGAGATTTTTTTTTATCTCATCTCTTCTAATAAAGTATGCACACAGTAATAAATATCACGAATGATTAGTACCATAATATAAATAAACAACACTACATATCCTATAATCTGATTTCTGTCTTTTTTTTAAAAAGTGAAGCGCCACACACTAGTTTGTGTCATTATCCAGATGTACATAAGCACAATTACACAGTTACTAGGGGTGGGTTTTGATTATCGATTAAAATCGATACTTGGATAACGTCATATCGATTCACTAAAATCCTGAATCATTTTTTAAATATAAATTCATTTTGCCCGAAATGCCAGAATCTCAGGTTAAACCTCACAAAATTTCAACAACCACCAAACAGCTAAAGCAGTAAATGAGAGCAGGAACACGGATTCTGCACAGACATAAACACAAAGCACGGAGCCTCCGACGGATCTCTCTCCAAACAATATTGAGCGAACCAGCAGCAAAAGAAGATCCAAACTACGCTTCACATAAACATCGCCATGAATTCACTCTGACTTTTGCTGTTTTGTTTCCACCACAATAAAATCACACTTCACGCACAGCTGTCTCTCTCTCTCTGTACTTCAAGAACAGTTTCCAGTCTAAAAATCTGTTTTCTTCATTATTCGCTTGCTTATTACGCACAATTCTACCGTTGTTTACAGGCTGTCGGCCGCTTTTTTCCTTTTACTTAATTATGAAAAGAAAACCTAATTTCTGTCGTTCAATACTGAACAAATTTAAACTTTTTAAAATGATGCAAAATTGCAAACGCTCAGCTGTGTCTCTAATCAAACCTCTGTAACTTGCTCTGCTTCACTTCAGCAGCATCAGGTATGTCATATGTTGATCAATGGTTTCTTTCGTTTTTGATCTACTGCAGAATATTTTTTATAAAATCCCAGGCCAGGAAAATCGCCTTCATGTTTATGTGTTTTATCCTCAATCACTTTGACACAAAGGCATCTGCTGATGCTCACACCTTTGATAAAGTCTCCAAAGTGTCAGCTTTCTTTTTATATCTATAAAAATATACAAAATGTACTGATGCATGATCTGAATTATAATATTTCTGACTGTCTGAGGCAAAATTTCCCCACACAGCCCTAACAGTTACACTATCATACCAAAACCCTGTCCTGATAGTTTCCAGTTTCTCTTTTGTATCAGACATACTGAGACAATATTCGGGATAAATAACCACGAACACAATTTATTTATTCAGTTTAGAGGTTTACACATCACATTATAATCACAGAGCCCGTTTCACTTGAATCGTCCACTTGATGGCGCAGTAGAGCAAATGAAAAGCTCAGTTCATCACTAGGCTTCATCTCACCGTCACTACCAAAGACTGAAGGGGAAGTCCGTGAAAAAGCTGGAGTCAGGCTGGCGAGGCCATGATGAGCTGGGAACACTATTTAGCAAAGCCTAGCAGCTGCAGGAGAGTGAGTTTTCAAAATAAAAGTTGCTTTCTTCTTCTCTGAGGTTTATGTCTTAACAGCGCATCGTGCCTCAGCGCCACCCACTGGAGCCATGTCGCCGTGTGATTGGCAGATTAGACAGTTGCGATTGAACAGGTGTGCCTAATGAAGTGGCCAGCCAGTGCACAGTCAGCGGGGGCCTTTCAGTCAGTTAATGACATCACCAAGGACCACGCACGTTTACACTGTGGTGAGCATGTTTCATTCTGCTTGCAGTGTGCTCATGCAACCTCTGTAGCTTTAACGTTCATACCCCAACTGTAACTGACAAACTTTGTTCTAAATATACTAAAATTAAACACGTGAATTACTTCGCATTAATCTGTAGTATTTTTTACTGTTGCCTGCGCTCATCTGTAAGATTTTTTCCTGCTTGTTTCATCTACCCAGTTTTGTTTTGACCATTACCAAACCTCATTTCTGCTTCCTTTGAACTCTGTAAAAACCTTCATTCTTCACTTTTCTGCACTAATGGAGAAAAGAAAATCTTACGCCTTCTTCTTTTTTGTTAATAAAGACGACAGAAGCAGCAGCTCTACAGCAAATCCTCAGTTTATTTCCTGCACATTTAAAAGCAAATAAAAGAACAAGCTCAGATCTCTGAATTACAGCCCCCATCATTTTAGAAAAACAGAAACATAACAAAAACCTGTCAGCTTGGCTGCTTGTGGATGTGGGAGCCTCAGTGAACAGCTGTCAACTTCCATATCCACAAAAAGCTTTACAGGAAATGACATCTCTGCAGACCAGGAGCCTCATCTGACGCTCAAGCCCTGCAGAATCTGATGCCCCCTAGTGGTACAGTATACAAACCCCACCCCCCTCCCCTTTAATCCCAATCTTCGTCTTGAATAAATTAGCTCGGTAAATTTGCTCTGAAATCAGCTTAAGTCAGCCAGTATTTACACCAGTGCTTCAACATTTTTCTGATCTGCACAGGCTGCTTGAGGAGAGAAGCCAGAAGTGAATAAAAACGTACAAACGGAAAAGGTAGAAAACAGGCACACGTGGAGAGGACCCGAACCGTTCAGTTTGTTAGATTCTTATGAGGAGTCTTTACCCGTCATCTTCTGAGCCAGAGCCCGAAGCGAGCGCAACAGTGCTGATGAGTCCACCTGACGAGACACTCGGGTCTCCACTCGCAGGTCTGACGTAACATCACGATGCAGATATTTCACAGGGCGAGCCGGGAGAACCATAACATCCGATTTCACAAAACCTCATGAGTTGCGTCTCATATGTTAAAATACTCATGTTAATGAGAGAAAAGAAAGTCGCTTTCATGCATTGTAATGCTTAAGGCTGTAACTAGATTATTCTTGCTATCGATGAACCTGCTGGATGATGGTTACTCCCCTCAGAGGCTCCCAGAGACCAAGTTAACCATTTCACATGATTTAAAGAAGGATAAGCAAAACATTTTCTGCCTAATGAACTTTTTCAGATTCCTAAATGAAAACTGTTCTAAAAACAGGACTTGGACGATTTTCGTTGACAATAACAGACTTTACGCTTCACAGCACAGAAAACTCAGAAGCCTTGTCGAGAAAGAATCATGGCCAAAAATTTAAGTGGCATAAATTTTGTGTTTCGCACATTTTCTTTATGATATGGTGAAGAAAAATCATAAGAACTAAATGAGTTTAGTTCCAACTAAATCAAATTCCTGCAGACTGTGTTTACAGCGTAAACAACATAACGTGCTGATATCAGCTTCTGAGCCAAATGCTGATTGATGGTGATCCGTTCCTGCCTCAGAGCTCCACATTGATCCGTTTCTCCGCTTCTGTCTGTCCACCTAACAACTGGCACACTCTCTAACATGATGGAGCTTCGTGTCACCGTTTCCAGCCCATGACGCTCTCCCGGCATCATGGGCTGGAAACTCTGGATTTTAATACAATTGAAAATCTCAAAAAGTAGAAGGACAAGCAAAAAACTCAAACGGATCAACTTCACGCACAAAGTCAGCAGCACATCGTCTGCAAAAATGATTTGGCTCAGAAGCTCAAAAGTCCAGCACACCACAGAACTGCAGGAGGAGGTTCGTCACTGTAAAACTGAAGCTTTGCATAACTTTGATTTAGTTGCCAAAAACCCCCGTGGAACATGAGCATGACTGCTCTTCACTATATCACAGTAAAGTAAAACACGCTGAGGCAGCACACAGTATGAACGTTTGCGTCACAGTGACTGTGATGATGGCGGGCAGCCGGTCACAGCCTCTGTAGCACAAGAAACTCAGCAGCTGCTGGATGTCATGTCGTCCATCTGTCTTATCAGGCAGATAATCAATATCTCCATATTCTCTCTCAATAATTAGCTGCCTGCTGAAATACACGCTTAATCAATTACATAAGGAGAAACTAGAGATTAATGCCTGGTGAGTTTCTGGAGATCTACTCGTACCACCTCCTACTGGCCACACTGCATTACTGCGGCCTGTTTCTTTTCTGTGCTAAACCAAAACAATATTTCATCATTGTTAGACAAAGATTTGGACCTTTTCCCCCTAAATATAACATGAGCATTGAAACGTTAGCTCAAAACGTCAGTTACAGTTTAAGAAGGACGGCACTGATAGCTGACCGACAGGATCAGACCACAAAAAAAAAAAAACAAAAAAAACTGAGTATCTGCAGAAGGGAAACTGAGTTACTGTGACTAAAGGGTGAAACACAGAGGGACAGCAGACAGAAGGGAAGCAGATTAAGTCTACAAAATCCCAACAAAACCAAAAATTATGTGCAGACAAAATCAACGAACAGAGAAAATATACAAAAAAGTCAAAAACAACAAAACTGCATCTGTTACTGTAGCTCCTCCACACATCAGAGCAGGGCTGCAACCAACCAGTGTTTCTACTCTGAACCAGTAACTTGAAAGAAGAGTCGAATTAGACAAAAATGATTCTGATCGTTTCAGCCGTGCGTCAGTGTGCGAGGCAAACAACACAATCAATACTGTCTCACAATGATAATGTCAGCAGTTGTACTACCAAGGCTTAAAAAAAATCTGATCTTTGAAGAAAACCCATCAACCTTCAGAGAAAACAAACGCCCAACATGCCTGTTAGAGGATGAGCCTCCCCACATCTCTCTGTGACAGCGTCAGAAAAAGTAATCGTTAAACAAAAGGGGCTGCAGTGTGTGTGTGTGTGTGTGTTCAACAGTTTTTAAGCTGAGCCAGCCATCGCTGTGCTTGGCACTGGTTCAAGTTCCTCAGCAGAGGGCAGAGTGTGCTCACGGTGGAGCTCTCAGCCCGCCGCCTCCTCTTCCTCCACGGGTGGATGAAATTTTTGTTGAAGTGACGTTTGTCAGCCGTCACTCGTCTGAGCCGGCCGAGCGTTTCTGGTTCCTCTTGCGAGGAGATCTTTTGGGAGATGCTTTGTCTGAAGGAGGAGAAGATGTTAAGAAGGTGAATTGTAATTTTTTTTCTGAAAACAGAGCAGTGATGCCACACACCTGCAGGTTTTATGTTCTCAGAATCAGGCCAAACATGAGGTCAGAACATGCTTAAAAAACCAAAAAAACCAAATGTGTCTTCCAAAAACATTTCACTGAAGCTTTCTCACACATGTATTATTTACAGTGGAGACTCCATCAACAGGTTTGAGGTTTTTATTACATCTGACAAGCAAACTAAGGAACTTTGAAATAATTACAGCAGTGTGTAGGGGGAAAATGACCACACATGTAATGTGCGACTAAAAGTATTTTACACCTGCAACTCGACTCACAGATGACTTGGGTTGACTGCCTTTTGTATAAAAATGACTGAAAGTTGTAACTGAAGACTTTAGAGGATTTTATAACATCTGTAACAGTAATGAAAATATCACAGGTATGACAAAAACAAGCAACGGGATCACTAACGTCTTCATGTTTTCCAGATACTGGAGGAGTTTGCTGGGTTAAGTAAAAATGAAAGAAGGAAAATCATTTTTATAGCCAACATCCAACCAAGCAGCTGCACCACAACCCCGCTTACTGTGACCACCACTCTCTAAGACCAACTTTCACACACAAGGAAGAATGCCAAGAACCAGATGGTCTGATCACAAAACAGGTGAATAATGTGACGTGATGTCAGTGGGAAACTGTGTTTAGTTTAACTTTCTGCAGTTTCTCACTAACAGATCAGAACATCTGGAACACCAGGAGTGGGAGAAGAACACTAAACACTCCAACATCAGGACCAAAGTTGTGTTACAGACACACAAACACACGACATGCAGCAGACCTCACCTCTGCGACTCTGCACTGAAGACGCAGGAAAACATGAGAGCAAGGAAAGCAGAGAGAGGAGGAGAAAGAAGGTGAGTGATCCTCGTGCTCAGTCAAGGATTAAGATCATTCTGAAACAGCAGGTGAAGCAGGAAGAAAGAACAGAGCAGCAACAGCAGCAAATATCCTGAACCTGTTCATATAATAAACTCGAAAATGTTTGGGTGCGGAGAGAATCAGCAGCTCTACAGACGTCTGCCAACCTCAAGAGCTGCACAGGAAGCAGAGAGGTTGCAGGGACCCGTGATGAAAGCTAAGATGTTTAACCTGGAGAAATCTATGAACCTAAAAGTAGTCCAACTGCCTAAACTAAGCATGTACTAAGATATGAAATTAAACACCATCTGTGCAAGCACTGTTTGAAACCTGAAATCTCCTCCTCCTATAATCAGGTTGTATTTTAAATATCACTGAAACGTGTGGCTCACTGCAAACACATGATGTCCATGTGGTCCAGTGCTCGTGTTACTTCACTCTAAAACAGCCAACATGCTACTGTTCTGCAGAGTCACTTCCATATTTAAATGGTTAAAGCTCGTGTAGTCTTTTGTTTAATTAAAGGAATTAAATGTAATTTTGGTGAATGTTTTCAATGTTACAAAAGATACACCTGCACGCGTGACTCAGCTGATTCTGTGAGGAAGAAAAGCTTAAAAGGTGCTCTGAGAGGGAGTGTTCGATGAAGCTGACAATCTCATCTGAGACTTGTGGTGTATAAACAGTTGGATTTCTGTGTCTGCAGATAACAAAGTGCATAAAAAAGAAAGCTTGTGTGCGAGCTGATGAGGTCACAGGATGTGTGCGAGGAGTACGTACTGATCTGGTTCAGTGTTTCTGGGGGGATCCAGCTCAGGTCGACGTCGTTGTGGCTCGAAGTTCCCGTTTCTACCTTTGGAGCTGGACGCCGCCTCTACAAACAAACACAGAATGAGCTGTCTGCTTTTTTTTGTGCTAATGACACCAAATCAACCTCATGTAGCTCATGCTTTGGCCAAAAGCTCCAAAGAGTTTAAGTCTGTGACAAACACCGGCAGATCCTGATGTAAAAAACACTAGCTAAACCATCAAAGGGTTTATTTTTCCCCTCAACTACCCATTTCTTTAAAAACAGTTTCATCTGATGGTATCTGCACCTTTCTGGACTCCAGCAGCTGGTGAAGGCCTACAACCACGAGCAGCCCAAGACCTGACAGGAAGACATACATGAAGATCCTGGCAGAGAGAGAGAGAGAGAGGGTGGGTTTATGGACAAATGCAGGCAAAGGGGGAGGAAAAAAGCCAGATTGGGTGTGTATATATGCATGCTTACGTCTCTCCATCAAGCCCATCCTCTCTCTCAGTGATGGTGACAGTCTGGTTAAACACAGCATCCTGGAAAACGTTTCCCTGTAGGTGGGAAAAGAATGGATGAGAAATGTAAATAAAGAAACAAACGCAATGGTGGAAAATAATGGCTACAGATGACTTTTTCCTACTTATTGTCCCAAATTTCCACACAGAATCTGATTTGTTACATCACTGACATTAGAAGAGCTTAAACCAGTCATGCTTACACTGCTGTCCTTGTAGTTGAGGTTGATGACGAGTCCGAATGGCCGCCCACCCATTGGCTCTGCAGGGATGAAGGAGTACTCAAAGGTGGCCTGTCTGCTGGGAGGAACCACGGTGCCGAGCTGGAGAGCGGTGAAGTTCTGGATGTAGAACTGGTAATCCTGAAAGGGGACAACAGGACAAATTTAGAGAGAGATGAAGCTACAGCTATGAATATTTGTTACAGCTCATTTTCTTACCTGTGGGTAACGGAAAGAAGCATCCAGAGACTCTACGATGAAGTTCTCCGACCCTTTGTTAGTGAAGCCAAGAAGGAACTTAACGATGTCGTTGGCTGGGAAGTCTAGAGGAAGGATGGCATGAATCAAACGGGGGTTTCAATACAGGAAAATCTAGAAACTGCTGAATGAAAACAAGAGGGCGGATACACAAAGACATTCACCGTCTCCTTTGACAAACAGGATGGTTGTGTCAGCGTTGGGGGAAGCCTTCACCTCTCCAACCAACGCTTCCTCCTCTTCATCTTCTTTTTCTTCCGTCTAGATAAGCGCACATGTTTAGGTAATGGGACAAAGAACAGGTTCACGTTTATCACGGTACAGTAAACAGCGAAAACTTGCATCATCTATGAAAACATTTCTACAGCCAATTTAATCACTTACCAGTTCTGTGTTATCATCATCTTCCACTTCTGCCTCATCATCCTCTTCGTTCACGTCGTCCACCACGTCTTCATCTACAGCCTCAGCCTCCTCATCCTCAGTCAAATCCTGGGCACTTGCCACTGGTCCTGACAGAAAGTATGGGAATTTTTACCAAGCCTATAAACACAATCTTTATTTCACGTAATGGTTCAAAGACCCCGGAGCAGCTACAGAGGTCTGATATTTAAAGCACATCTTCAGTTCACCAATGAGCTCCGTGATGGTTGGAAAAATGGATGCAAGCCTAAAATTGACCACAACACAGATATGACTTTTTACTCCATCAATGTTCTTCTGGTACCTAAGACTACATGGTTCTCAAACTTGTTGCACGGTGTGCTTAAGAACAATTCAAGCATAGCCTGGAGAACAGATCCAGACCAAGCTAAACACCGAGCTGCAGCATTCACTACAACCTAACAACTTGGAAATTACAAACTCTACTTTTGGTGGTTTAAAACTTGGGATGATAGATTTTGTTAAGGTAACATCACACAATCTTTCAAAGGTAGATAAAAGCATCAAAGTCTCCATGTAAATATATTATAAACAAACAAAAACAGTTCTACATTTTCCAAGACGGCCATCATCTCAAGATCTAAGTCAAGTGAAGAAGGCAACTGGACTTTACTTCTCACCCAAGAGCCATCTTTAGTTCTAGAACTAAACGGTAGCGAGTCACATGTATTTAAACCTTACTGGCATTTATGGTCACCACACTGGTTCACTGGTTGTATCAAGCGCAAACTGTAACTTGAAGGCACACGGTACTCGCCACAGTTCTCTCCTGAACTGGTCTGCATCAGTGCTGGTGTAAGTGTAGAAGTTTCTGCTGTTTCAACATCTGCTGTAATCAGGGAACCTTTGAACTGTGGTATTGATATACAACTAAAAACTTAGTTTACAAAAACAAAAAAACCAAGTTGATCGAACAGTTTTCTCTTCCACCCAGCTGGCTGCACATGGCACATTACAAAAGTTAAGAGAAGCATGAAAAACTGAAATGATGCCCAAGTGTGGCACATGCCAGCAGTTGTGACGTCAGTTTGGGCTTGCATCGCGCAGAGAGATGACAATGGAGAGAGAGCATAACCTAGGCTGCACCACACCTTTCGCCCCATGACAGCTGGAACAGTCGTCTGTTGTCCAGTTCAGTGTGGATGGAGCCCGCGCTGAACTGGATAAAGAGTTAAGAAAATTGACGAATAACACTAGCATGCAAACATTTTTGAACATTTAACATTCAGATCTGCGTGAAAGCAAATACCTTCGTTCAGCTCATCAGTGCAGTCACACCCTGTCAATTAGGGTGCAGCTATCCACTTGTTTAAAAGCTTATCCAAATGAAGGCAGCATACCCCAGCTAACAGAGTCAGACACTGACACACAAGATCATTTTAGAGTCACCCATTTGCCTGACATGCATCTATTTGGGCTGCAGACTTCTCCATCCAGGATGCTCCAACTCAGAACCTTCTTGCTGTTTTGCAACCATGATAACCAATGCACCACCATGCTGCCTAGTTTTATGACTCCTGACAGCGACCCAATAACACAGTCAGGTTAGTCCCACTACTTCCCCTCACTCTGTCTGCATATACACAAGGCCAGGGATTAACCAACACATTAAAATGAAACTTGTTACAACATTATTAACCGTGATAATAATGATGTGCATAATATCCACACAACACCAAGTTCTTGGTTAGACTTTGATTACAAATATCAATACCCTAATGTAAAGTTTCTATTGTTAAACTCTCTAAAAGCGTATCCACAGGCGCGTGATGTAAAAACAGTGTTGCTTAAAAGAAATAGGAAGCCAACACGTCCGTTTCGTCATGTAAACGCCGAACTAACCCACAGCTTACAATCACAGCCAACAGGATACGATCCAGATAACTTAATCGGCCTCAAACACCCGTTCAGCTGCACAGTGTGCAGACCAATTGAGTAAATAGGCCACACTCTTACAGACTTAATTATCTACTTACATTAATTAAGCGGGCATTTGAAGTAACAGTCACTCTGTGATTCAGTTCTGCGGGGTTAAGCTAAGTAAGCTAGCGTAGCAACAAAAGTAACTTTACCCTGTTTTTCAGCAACTTTCACAAGTTTTGTTGAGTACATCATATTATGTGTGGCAACTCCGAGGCTCCGTTTACACAGAGAGGAAATAAAGGAGCTGAAATAAAGCAGCACGTTAACTGAACCTCTTAGCTTCCCTGCTAACAGTAAGGACACGTCAGTCTAACCAGGCGTTTAAAGTACCTTGACGTGAGCTACCTTACACTAAATTACACTAAACAATAAGAGGCATTTGCGAAAACGAAATCCACCATGGAGATATCCCTCTAATTGCCCCACATTTACGATGAATCCCTTCATTTTTATATACACGCTTCACTTCAACCAGCACGCTTAATGGAGAGCGGCCTTCCCCTTTCCCCACAGCAGCTACTTAGCTCGACAGCTAACACTTCTTTTCCCCCTAAATCGCTGCGCTTTTCTTCGTATCTTTACAAACAGACTTACCTTTGATAAGGAGAGTCGCCGGAAAGGCTAACAACACCAGTAGCAGAAGTTTCGGCAGAAATTTCATCATTTTGAAGTCGAAATCAGTGCGTTCTCATTCAGCGTCGGTCAGGCTGTCTATGAGCGTCGCTGTACTGCTTCCGTTACTCTAACTATGACGCATGCGCAGAAGTCACGGTGGAGTTTGTGGCGTGGCGTCAGCCCCCTTTCAGGTCGCAGTTGTGTTGGTATAAAAATGGTTAGACACGGTTGAGAGTGTTAAGAATAATATAACTTTTACAGAGAACAGCTGACCTGAGTTGTGGACTTTCTGCTCAAGTTGGGGAAGTTTAGGAAGCACGAATGCAAAGGAAACAAAACCGGAAGTGAACACTGCCGAGAAAAAAAACAGAATAAAAACGAACTTTAATTGATCAAGTGCTGAAAGAATGACCTTTCTTCATAACTTACATTTCATATTTAATTCTAAGAATGAATAATAGTACTGTTTCTTGTTGCAGATATAAACAAACTGGGAGTTTCTACGAAATGTCAGAATAAATTAGCAGATGCAGCTAGAACGAAAACTTGTTTCTGATGCTTTAAAATGAATGTCTAATCTTTTTAAATTGTTTTCTATTAATAATACTAATTCTTTATTTAAAAGGGACAGTGCAGTTTAACGTAGTGTAAGTATAAAACTGATGTTCTGCGCATATTGCTAATTTCCAACTATTATTATCATTATTATTATTGGTATTGTTGTTGTTGCTGTTGTAGCCACAAATTGCGTTCAAACACGTACAATTCAGTCACGTACACATCCAAATCGCAATATGCAATATATACAGATGTTTTTTTCTTTGTTTTTTCTGTCAATGCGCACTTTTCTCCTGTTGTATGTTCAGCGTTATGTTCCACAACAGATATGGGAAAAAGAATGATAAAAGTAAAGAAAATATTTTTTCTTTATGAATTAGCATCATCATATTTTAATGGCAAACTCTTAATCTGACTGTTTATAAGATTTATTACGTTTTAATGCCACTTATAAAAAATAATTTTATTTTTATTACAATTTATTTGAAAGTCCTTGTCACTGCATGTTGTTTTGCTACTTTAGACTTTCCTCTGTTTTACTATCAGACTGTCAGTCATCTGTGCAGCACTTTGAACTTCACTAACCAGGATGAAAGGTGCTGAACAGTTAGTAAGTAAAATTTTGTTTTATTTATTTCTAGATAAAAGATCACAACGTGCTTCACACAGAGATAAAGTATAAAACAAAAACAGATAAAAGTTAAAAAACAAAAACAATACCACTACTAATACACTGTATGCATGTATATTCTGTAACCATTTCAAAATTTCCACATCATCTCCTGGTACTTTAACCAGAAGTGAAACTCTTGACGTCAAGATTTATTTATTTTGATTTTTTTAAGAGTGTCCTTGCATTCAACTACCTCACACATTCAATGGCAAGATAAACCAGAGCTCTTGGAAAAAGGCTGCAGAAGCACGCTGTCAGGGTTTCTGGATCTTTGACCTCGTGTTTTGAGTTTTGTGGTTTTCACAATTTATTGTTGGGTTTATTAGGTAGCTTACATTCAAGTGTTATATTATTTAGTCTTTTGGGTATAGCATTTCCAGTGCTTCTGACTTAGGTATTTATGTTTCTTAGCTCCTTGTTTGATGTCTCCTAGTCTCGTTTCTGTGCATCTTCTGACCCTTTTTTTTGTGGTAGTCTTGTGTTCTGTTACTTCCTGTCTTACTTTCCTTAATGTCACATGCTTTAAGTTCTTGTATAGTTAGATTCTGCTCACCTGTGCTTCTTTCCCCCAGATGTGTCCTCTGTCACTAATGACCTTATGTGTGTATTTAAACCCTCAGTTTGCTTCTTTGACATGGTTTTCAAACATGCTGTATGTCCTAGTGTTTCACACCTTTGATGGCTCAGCTTTATGCTGTATTTGCTGCACTTGTGTCCACATATTTAAAGTAATTATTCGGCTGAGCTGATGTCTTATTTTATTTATTTTTGCTCCCCCCAGATTAGATGTAACACATGTAATACATTTTAAAAGTCATCATTGCACATTTTTAGAAATATTTTTGTCCATGAAAGGTGATGTGACACAACAGCTAAATATCTGCTGTTGGCATCAGTAAACGTCTCACTTTCAGAGATGCAATAACAGGATCCGAGTCATATTTCTAAATAAGATGAACTTTTCTGTTGACTGTTTATTTGTTTTTTATTTCTCCCATATGGAACACACTGCAATTATCACATGGCAAAACAGGCCGAGATTGAATGATCCATAATTTCAAATAATATGTAAATAAATTTAGTAAAATCTGTGATGATATACTGAGTAAATAAGAAAAAACTGTGACATTAGAAGCAAAAAAATCATCAAAGCATGAACCAAAAACAAAAGAAACAGCGTCTCTTCAAAACTTAACACAATCAACACATGAATATTCAGTAAATTATATTCTATTGCATCTATTTTTATGAAATAAAACATACAAAATGCAAAAATGCTTTCCAGCTAGAATGACAAATCATGGCTGAGTGAAGATTTATTCAGTACATGACCGGGATGCAATCCACACAGCAAGACAAGAAACCCCAAAAACACGACTTACTGGATACACACAAGAGTAAAATATAACTTTCCCAAACGTGGACAGGAGCCCGTGTATCAAAATAGTCTGCAACGTCCAGAAATCTCCAGTCCGACGTACTTAAACAGTCTCTTCAGATTTCAGGAAATATAAACTTTTACTGTGTGCAGAGATATTCAGACAGCATGACACGAGAAACAGAAAGACACAGTGTGTTAGTTAAGTCCTTTACAAACACAGAGGTTACTGCTGCTGTTTAAAACCGATGATCTGTCGGTGGTTTGTCGACAGGTTACTGTACATCAGAAGTCAAAAACCAAACCACACTCCCCTGAACATGAATTAAACCCGGGATAAATAAATGCTCAAACTCGAGGTTTCTAAACCTTGTTCCTGTTCGCCTGCCCCACTCCTTCCTTTTGGTTGCATCACTGCTAAGAAAAAAGTATTTTCTGACTTTTCATTCTTTCCTTTTCATTCTCGGGCTCACGTCCAGAGAGAAGACAGATCTAATTATTTTCATTCCCTGCTCCTCTTCTTCTTTTTCTGCATCCTTTCAAATGAAAGTCTGCTGACAATCTGTCGTTTTCTTAATGCCAACAAAACCCATAAAAAGACCAAAAACCATCAGTGTCTCAATTCATCTCTCTGTGCTTTCTGGATTCCCTTCAGATCACATAAACGTGTCAGCATGTGACCATATTTGTTTCATTAGTGGCATCGATGGCTGACAGAGCAGTATTTGGGCTCGTCCAGGTAACTTTGGTTTAATCCTGGCTTTTCAGAACCACAGACCTGCTCTGGAGCAGGTCGTGTTCGACATTAGAGATCAAGAGATATCTGGAAAATAGTGTCAGGGAGGTCCTGGGAGGTCCCTCAGACCTCAGTGCGCAGATAATAGGGGGTCTGTTTCATGGGTGTCGCTCCCTGATGAGCAGCACTTATTCTTCTATGCATCTTAATAATGGTCTTAAAACAGGACAACTCGTTGTACTTGTTGACATCATATCAAGTTTCCATTACGCCAACATTTAAATTCAGTTTTCATTTGTATTCTTTATTCTGGTGGTGCCAGAGTGAAGCAGTTAAAAAGATCCCAAGTTCATCTCCAGCCACAGACACAAAACCAGGAAAACCCTCCAAACAAACCAGCTACCTGCTGTGGGGAGCCTTCTGAATAAGGGAGAAGCTGTAGGCAGCATTTTCCTTTTATTTTAAAGAATAAAAACTTAAACTGTCTTTCTCACATCTGAACACGAATTCAATAAGAACAGGAAATCCATCAGATCCACTCTGTAGTGAGTGAGTTTGATCAGAGCACAGGGACACCGCGTCTGATGAGAGGAAATTTGGTTGAGGGTGGAGAAACCTGCCGATGGAGCAGCCACTGTTGGACCTGCTGGGCTTTTTTATTGATCTGTTTTTGTTCATCTGGGATTTTGTCTTGTGAGGGTGGAATAATCAACTTAATCTTTTTTTGGTTTGTTCTGTTATTTAAAGTCATTTAAACTTAAAACATTTTGGACAAAAATGCAAATTAAAAATGCAAACTGTAGAACGGAAACATTTCATAGTAGGTAAAAGGAACAAATGTAATCTGAATATTTAAAAACTGACCCGAGTAAGAACCTTTCTCAGATTTGTTTGCCTTTATGTTTAAGGAGCATCTCCTCTGCAGCGTGTCGATGTGAGCTGACTGCAGTGCCTGTTAGGATTATTTGCCAAGCAGTGACTTATATCATGAGTTATGAGTCTAATTAGCAGTTTTCAACAATGAACAAGAACTTTGATTCGGCTTATCTTCATGTTCATTTGAAGTATGAAACATTTATGAGTCTTTTAAGTGGATGTAGTGAGATTACAGTCAATTTGTTGTGGATTAATCGACATGTGGAGCTGAAACGAGGCTTTGTGGTCTTTTCCTGGGCGTTGTTGGCAGTATTAAAAACACAGACCACACCCAGAGCTGCAGTTTGGGAGTCTTGTCTGAATTCCTGTTGTATTATAAACTAGATTAATCCTGCTCATTCCTTCTTCATTTCCTCTTCTAGTTTGTCACAGGTGATTAAAAAGTTACACGTTACTTGTTTCTAGTCTCTCTCACCGCTTCTCTTCATGCATCCTTCTGTCGTTCGCTCCTCTACTTCTATATTCTCATAAAACATGACAGCATGCTAGATTTATCCCTCCATCTGCTTTTTTCTCTTCATCCACCGCTCATCAAAAGAAAATTCCCCTTCAGGTCAATTATTACCTGATATCACCGGCTCATGGTGTTCAGTGCATTGCAGCGCTTAGTGTAAAACTACAAAGGTTTATCTATCTTTTATCTATCTATTAATTTTTTTTACACCAGACAGTTCTGCCCAATAGATTCTTAAACTTTTAATGCCTAAATTAAAAAATATATATTTCAGTGCCACTTAAAGAAGAACCATGAAGCTGCTTGTGGTTCATTTCCAGCTCAGATCCCAAACCTTTCGTTCGGTGCACTTTCACTCTGTTTCAAACCATATACAGTAACTTTGAGACGTGACCAGAGCCTCGAGGTTACTACTGATGCTGATTCCGCAGCTGCTTTCGGACGGACATGGATGAAACTCCAGGAGTTTACAGATTTGAGTTCAATGTAATAATTTAAGAGCTGTGTCAAAAAAAGTGAAATTGATTTCCATGACTTTGCACATATTTCTGGACAGTGCTTCATAATATTTTGCGTAGATTTTTTGTAAATTTCTTTTTTTTTTTTTAACATAAATGCTAATTTTACAGAACAAGAAGAATAATTTTGGAGATACTGTAGAAAAGGCCTGAATGGAGCTGAAGTAGATGTATTTTCCAATAAGCGATGGACCTGATAGACGTATCTGTGTCCATCAGATACAGGAAAGGCTTCCCCAAGCATCCAGACAGCCCTCTTTAATCATAGCGCACCCTGCTCCGCTGCACTGCATCCTGGTCAGTTTCCTTCACCTTTAAGTGCAGAAACTGCTCTTTGATTGGCTGTTGAGCAGATGTGTTTATTCTCAAAGAAGCTGCAGCTTTGTAATCCATCACGTCTAATTAAAACCCATTAAACTTATTTTTTTAAACATAATTTCCTGTTTTTAAAATTGACCAGAACAGTCTAACAATCTATCACCTGTCTTTCCCGTTTCCCATAACACTGAAAATATAAATGAGCCCTGAAATGCAAAGAACATCACCAGCTGCTTTTATAACGCTGAAGGTGGATGTAACTGTGAATTTCAGCCCCGTCTCACTTCATCTTCTCCGCTCTCTCTCACAAACTCGTCTTCCTCTCCGCTTTAGTTGCAACACTCCACGTAGTTTGCCGGCAGCATGCCGGACTTGCCGGTTCTCTGCACGGTGCCGTACATCCAGCCCTCGTCAATGGGCTGAGCGTTGATGATGACGTCGCCGTCCCTGAATGAGACCTCATCGTGATCTTGAGCCGCGTAGTCATACAGCGCACGGTAAACACGCTGCAAAAAGGCCGAGACACAGATTTCAGGGTTTCAGGGATTTTGTTCTCAGGGAAAAAAAACTTTAAATTTATACCAAAAAAAAACTTTGTTGCAGAAGAGTGTACCATGGTGCCTGAGTGTGGAGGAGAGGTGACAGATCTGACAGATGACATGCTGGTCTGATGCATGTAGCCGTGATACTGCTGCTGCTGCTGCATCTGGACGCCCTGATGGTACGCTCCAGGGAGCACAGGAGCTGGGTGAGAGACACAGAAACACAGAGAGAGAGAGGCGTGAGAGCAAATAAGTTGAAAACTCTGTTCTGCTTTCTTGGAAAACCTCTGTTGCTGTGAAACTCTTTGTGAAATGTTAACAATAAAACCCCCACAGTGACCTTCATGCACAATCCTGCGAGGAGACAGTGAGTTAGTTTAATCTGTGGATCAGAGACGGGAAACATAAGTCGGCCCATGCGTTCACCCTGCTGTGAGGAGGAAACAAAACCGAGGGGGAAAGATACCCGGAGTTTCAGCGCTGCTGCGGTCCCAGAGGTCAGAGGTCAGCGAGCTGACAGACTGAGCCTGGCTGTGGGTGAGCGACTGCTGGGAGTGCTGCCTGCTCAGCCTGCGGTCAGCTCGCTCTAACAGCCGGCCACCACCGGAGGGCAGCGCGGGACAGAAGTAACAACAGGAAAAACAAAGAAAACATCGCTAATAAGAACAAACACAGTACGTAACAGCATGAGCATATCAGCTATTTCAAATTATAACTTATGGTTCTGTTAGTTTTCTTTTTTTGCTATTTTTAATTCAGTTTAGTTTCAGTTAGTTTCCAGAAGGGGGGGTTACTTATTTCAGCATACAGTGTCAACACTCTGTCACATATGATTCTAGTAATAAAACGCTACATGCAAAAAATGTTTCCTTATGTTTGTTGCGCAGACCAAATTTCACCCAAATGATATTTTAATTTGGTTTCATAAGCACACATTATTTTTCCATTTAGCTGCTTTTTAGACATGTTTTTATTTCAGTAAACTGAAATGTTTTAACGCTCATTTTGGGTGTTAGTTGCATTTCCATCAACTATATTTACTTGGATTTTATCCAATGCATTTTGCACAACATGGTAATGGCAAAGCTTCAGTCAGGATGTTGGCTAACAGGATCAACGTGCTGGTACTAACTATAACCAGACTCTTGCTTAAATGTATTTTTTGTTTAAACTCTGGAAAGCTTGAGTTGAAGGCAGCTGGACTTACTTTTAGGTGCTTCTGTCAGGGACCTGGATCTGGGTGGCTGTGGCTACAATGTAGCTGCCATCACCAGTGTGTGAATGGGTGGATGACTGCATGTGTAAAGCGCTATACAAATACAGGTCATTAAATAATTTTGTGTTGCTGAAGATGGCTTCAAACTAATTTAATGGAATGTTTAGGTCTTCAGGCTACTAAAAATTATGGTAAATGGAATGATATAAATATATATACACATATTATACTGAGTACTACAAAGGCTGAATGCGCCATCTTGTGGTTCAGACTGGTATTACACAAGAGCATATTTCCAGTTAATATCTCTAAATCTTGGACTTACAGTGTGACTGTTGACAGTTTTAGTATTTTTATTTTATTTTATTTTAACGTCACAAACAAAGACATTTAAAAAAAGGACCTTTATGATAATAAGGATTTTTTTTTAAGTAAAGGCAGAACTTTCAACTCGATCAATGCAAGAGTGTGAACTGAGGATCAAACTTGCACACAGCAGGCTGGAAAATAATTTGTGAACATGTTTATTAGTGTGTAAAAGGGTAATGTGACTTTAAAAATCATTAATAGTAAAACCAGGGTCATGAGGGGTCATGAGAGATGTATGCAAATATGCAAAATATTTTAGTTTGAAAACATTTCTTGAGGATCCAGAGCTACCAGACATCCTGCGGAGGCTTTTGGACTGAATGTTGTCCTCAAGAGGGTCAAAGTCAAAGATGGAGCCTGGGTCTGCCCTCCACACCTTCAGGTCTTCAGACAGGAGGGAACAAGATTTGGACAGAAGCAGTGACTGAAACCATCCAACATTATTAAGTTGATAAATATTCCATGACTTCATTTGAACTGACGTTTCTCTGACTTTGTTCTTGACATTAACAGATATAAACTCAGAGGGCTGAAGTAAAAAAAAATAAAAAAAAGTCCAAATCACAGCTCATCTGTTCATTTAAAAAAACAAACTATGAAAAGAAAGTAACAAAGCGGAAAGTGGCTCCACTTTACCATAAAATAATACTTAAACCAGACTCAGCACGTCAACCACCTGGTCCAGACCTAAACCTTGCTCTCATTTCAGGGGTCTTTGGCTTCATGTGGAGGCTTTTATTGTGAAACACTATATGAATAACACATAACAGAAACTACAGGAGACAAAAGTTATTGATGAAGCATCACATTCTTTGTAGGTTCAAAGTTCACAGTTAGAGCTAAGAAGAATAAAGAATTCAACAACTAAACAACATCAGATGATTGTGTCATGTGACTCTGCTGGCCAATCCCTTTCTTAGTGCAATACCACACAGCAGCCAGCAGACACACCAACCGCTGAATCCTTAACACACACAGGCTCTTTCACTAACCTACGATGATGCCTCCTGGTCGTCTGTCCATCTCTGTCACCTGGTGGTGCATGCCTTTGTTGTAGCCCGCCTCTCCCATCATCTGATTGGCTCTCTGGTAGCGCTCCATGCTGGGATCGTCCAACCCCGGCGTGAAGCCTCGACCGCGCGCCCGCTCAAAGTCCTCGTGGTACTTTGCCTGTGAAGAGCAGAGGAGTCAG